GCGTTCTATTTACAACACCGCACGCACTCTCTCTCTCTCTCTCTCTCTCTCTCTCTCTCTCTCTCTCTCTCTCTCTCGTTATCTATTTATTACCTCTCTCGCTTTTCACTCTTTACTTTTATACTTTTTTACTGTTTTTTTACTTCTTACTTCTTACTTCCTACTTCTTACTTCGTAACTTCTTATCCTTATTTATACCTTACTTCGTACTTCTTATATATATTTCCTACTTCTTACTTCTAACCAGCTGTTTCAGTTCGAAGTGTACCGTTTTAAAAAAGATTCCGCTTGCACTTCGCCGGCGAGATCGGCACGATTTGTCGTGCTCGCCGTTGTCGTAAATGCGATCGCGACTATAATACAAGTTTCTCGTCGTAGGCTGATCGACCACCTCGAATCGTCGTTAACCGCGAAACGCGTTCGCGTTCGCGCGTCGACGCCGTGGTACTGGCGCGCGGGAGGGGGGATGGGCGCCCCTCCCCCCACCGGGAATGACCAAAAGAAAAAAGATCTCGGTAACAAAATAAAAGGTGCCCCTTTTGGGGGGAAAAAGGGGGCGGAGAAATCGCGACCGTTTCCGTCGCTATCCTCTCGATATTCGGAAACGGAAATACTTTAAATCGCATGCACCAATATGGTGTACGTACGTTTGAACGATCAAGCGTCGACGATACTAGAACAAAGACGAGGGTCGCCGCGTTTCGCGCGTTGTTTTTCTTTTCGATCGTTCCTCGTGAATCCTGTCGTATCGTTCGAATGCCTAATCCTTGGAATCGCGTAGCAACGTCTCCCGATAAAAACGGCTCCTCTCTACGACGACGACTGCGGGGTGGTGCGCGTCTCTCGAACGTTCCCGAAGGCGAATACAACGGCGGCTCGGTGCGTACGAGGAGAGAATAATACGATCGGGGTTTCGGGGAAGTCGGAGGGGCGACGGTCGTACGGATCCGGGGCCGACGACGGCGACGACGAACGCTAAGACGGAAGTGGAAATGGAGGCGGAGGAGGCGGAGACGGAGGAGACGGCGGCGCAAAATGATCATCGTCGGCACGAGATACATGTTTCGGCTCGATCCGCGAAGCGCCGGCAATACTTCGGAAATACTTGTCGCGTATCGAGACTTTTACTGTCAGGGTCTGACGAGAGGCTTACCTCCGTAGGGGGCGGGATATTGTCCGGTTAGCAGGGGATAGCCTAAGCCCACGTGCGTGTGGTGATGGGTGTGCACGTGCCGCTGAGGCGGGGGCGACCTATTGTCTTTCGGCAAGGTCCCGGTCCCGGCGTCCACGGCCGACTGTTGCTGCTGTTGCTGTCCTCCCGGCTGGTTCTGCTGCTTCCCGGACGGCTGCTGTCCCTGAGGCTGCGGCGGGCCGGGCCCGGCGCCGCCGGCCGCGCCCGACACCGAGCTCGGCGGCCCGCTCGGAGGCCTCGAGGGCGTCGGCCCCGCCGACGACGGGCTCGCCGAGGCCGCGGACGTCTTCGGGGTGGGGGACTTGAGCGCGCGCTCCTGCAGCTCGTGTATCTTGTGGGCCGAGTAATACTGGTTCGCGTGGTGTTGAAGCAGGTCCAACGCTTTGCCGCCGGGCGGTCTGCTCAGATCTTCCGGCGCGTGATACCTGGGCAGCTGATGGAGGTACGGGTTCCCGGTGTACGGTCCCGGGACCAGCATCGGAGCGAGGCCCCGATAGACCGGATGACCGGGGTCGAACGGCAGCGCGCCGTAATGCTGCGGCTGCATGTAACTCGGATGGATGTACGCGTACTGGGACGTCGGCGGAGGCGGTCCTTGGGTCTCCATCGTGGGCTTCACGCCTTCCTGTTGCTTGCTCTTCGAGTCCTCGTTCTTCCCCAGATCTTGCGGCTTCTCCTGCTTCGGCTGATGCTTCGGGCTCGGCGGAGGCGGCTTCGCTTGTTGACTCTGCTTGCTCGGCTCCTCCTTTCGCCTCTGATCGCCCGGGTACAGGTAATACCTTCGGTCGTCCTGTATCGGACCAGGCGGCGGCGGCGGCGGACCGGCTCTCTGACTCTGAGACCCGTGATACACGTGGTACGGGCTCATCTGACTCTTCATCTCGATGCTCTCCTTCAGTATCTGATGATTCTCGTGCTGTTTGTCCTTCAAACTCGGCTGCTGCGGTTGCGGCTCCTGTTTGATCTTAGCCTTTTGCTCGTGAAACTCTTGCTCCTGCTGCTGCTGCTGCTGCTGTTGCTGCTGCTGCTGCTGTTGTTGTTGTTGCTGCTGCTGCTGCTGTTGCTGTTGTTGTTGCTGCTGCTGCTGCTGCGCCACGGATTGCGGCGGCTGATAAGGGTATCCGGGCGGCATGTAGCCACCGTAACCGCCGTAATAGTGCGGCTGTTGCTGAGGCTGCGGAACCGATTGACTCATCTCCTTCTTCTCCTTCTCCGCGACCACGCTCTGTAGACTGGCCATCGTCGGCATCTGAGGTATGTTCAGCGGCTTCATCTCCTGCTTCGGCACTAGATCGGTCGGCTTCTGATCGATCGGCTTGCTCTCTTGAACGCTCGGCACCAGGTAAGGCGGCTGCCCGTAATACGGATACATGCTGAAGTGCGCCGGCAGGTGTGCGGCCGCGGACGCCTTGCCGTCCTTCTCCTGGGACTGTTTGCACTTGTCGGTCGGCTCGGCCTCGAGCACGGGCGCCGCGTCGTCGGAGATGTCCGAGTAGGCCGGACTCTGGACGTCGTCCCTCGCGGAATCGACGATAGGCGCTTCCAACGGCGACGGATGAGGACTGCCTCCGGGCGACTTTCTCGATTTCTTCTTGTAACTGGGCGGTTTCGCGGCCCGAGGATCTTTGCTCTTGTCCTGTTCGGGCATCAGCGCCGCGGTCGGCTTCACCTTGAACTGCGGCATCTTCGCGTGCAACGAGACGCTCTGGTACGGCTGCAGATGCGACTGCACCGACTGCACCGTTTGACCCGGGTGTCCGGCCTGCGGCGGACCGGAGGCCGCCACCACCGCCGCCGCCGCTTGCTGCGACACTTGAGCGGCGAGACCCTGAAGACCCGGATGTTGACTCGCGATGCTCTGCAACCCGGCCGGCTGCGTCTGCTGCTGTTGCTGCATGCCGGCCTGCTGTTGCACCATGTGAGCCTGCGACGGCTGCCCGAGTTGCGCCGAGAGCGAGTGCTGCACCGAGAGCTGGTGCGCGGACGTCAACTGTTGCTGTTGCTGCTGCACGGCCGATTGCAGCTGTTGCGACTGCTGCTGGCTCGCCTGCAGCTGCTGCGACGCCGCCGTCGACTGACCGGCTTGCATCGACTGTTGGCTCTGCTGCAGAAGCGAGTTCTGCTGCTGTTGCTGATGTTGTTGTTGTTGGTGTTGCGACATTTGGGACGGCTGAGGCGGTTGCGGAATATTCAGCTGCGGAGGGAGATTGTTCGCGCTCGGACGAGGAGACGGTATCGGCCTCGGCGACTGACTGGTCCGAGGACCGGGGCTCTGCGGCGAGCTCGAACTACCCAACGACGATTGATTCTGCTGCGCCTGCTGTTGTTGCTGCTGCTGCTGCTGCTGCTGCTGTTGCTGCTGCACGGATTGCTGCTGCACAGACTGTTGCTGCTGCACGGACTGCTGCCTGGCGGAGGTCGGTATCGTCGGCGGCGGCGCGGGCAAATCGTCCTGCCCGAACCTCAGCACGCCCGGTTTCACGATGCTCTTGTCCTGGCCGTGAACCGGCGCGGTCGCCTCTATACCGGGCGAGACGACCCGCGGCGGCGGCGGAGGCGTTTCCGGCGGCAGACTGCTGGCCGGCGGGCTGGACGGCCTCAGCGGCGTGCCCTCCGGCTTGTCGGCCGGCGATTTCACCGGCGTCGCCGGGCTCGGCGCCTCGATGTTGCTCTCGTCGTTCTCCGACATGCTCGTGATGCCCTCCTTGGCGTCGTCGTCGTCCGCCGAGCCGTGCGCGTGGCTCTGGTGGTACTTCAGTCCATTGATGTGTTTGTACTTTTTGTTGCAGTTCGGTTCCGGACACTCGAGCAACACGGGGCTCGCCGGAGGAGAGCCGCTGGGCGGCGTGGGCGGCGGAGCGCGTCTCTTGTTCTTGTCCTCTTCCTCGGGTCCTCGGGATTTCCGCTTGGCCGCGGGATCCGGTCGGGGCGGGACGAACGCCGCCGGACTCGGGCTGGCCGCCGGCGATCCCTGGGCGCCTCGGCGTCCCTTCGCGCCGCCGTTTCGCAGCTTGCTGTGCACCGAGCTTCTCGTCTCCGTGAAGTTGCTCAAATCGTTGCCCGGGGTCGCGTTCGCCGCGGCCCTTCCGCGCTTGCCGCGGCCCTTCGGCGTCCGCGCGTCGAGGTCGCTGGTCGGCGAGTCGCAGAATCGAGGCGGCGCCCAATCGTGCCGGGTACAGTCCAGCAACGTGCCCACGTACGTCTTCCCTCGCCACGTCACGTTCACCACCAGCACACCTGCGAATCGAACGAACGCGTTCAGAGTACGAACCGAGGCTAAATTGGCCGCTAAATTCTCTCTCTCTCTCTCTCTCTCTCTCTCTCTCTACCGGATCGTCGGTAGTGCCAGACGCGGACTCACCCCCTTCGGTCTCGTGCCACACGATTCCCTCAAGAGTAACAGATGTACCAGGCTCGCAGGGTCCTAAACATTCTGGCTCGGTAATGGTCCCCACGCTGGTCCCGACGCACACGTCGGACATGTCCTGTAACATCGCACGCATCTTATTGTAGATTCGTCGCTCTATCGTAGACGGATCGAATCGCGATCGCAGCCAACGGATTCCGGAGTTGGCGGTTGGGACGAGGACCCACGCACGGATCGATCGCGGACCGCGAACGCGGATTCTTCGGTGCGCTTCTTTAGGACCGCGCGCGTCCTCGCGAATTCCATCGATATCGGTGACATCGAACGCATCGATCGCCGTCAACGTATTTTGATAAAGAAACGCGAGATTTCGAACAGCTGCGCAACGAATCGCGGTTGGCTCCGTCTTCGGATTCGGTTTACGGTGCACCGCGTAACCGCCGAAACGAGTGCCGCGAGAGTCCGAGGAACAACGCGCGTTCGAAAACTTCTCTCGAGGAAAAATCGGGTTCGCGACAAAGATTCCGCGGAAGAGCATCGCGACAAAGACGACTCGTGCGCTACCACGATCGCGGAGAAAGGGTGAAAGAGGCAAGGAAATAGCGAGCGGTAGCCACCGATAAAATCCATAGCAGTCGATGGCCGTAAACGGCCTCGTGGAAATCGAGTTCGTACTCGACTTCGGCGGAAGCGGATCTTGCTCCGTCGTCGATCACGGTCAATGGCGTCGATGGGACGACCAATGGTCGCGGACCAATGCCATCCCGTAGGAAGTTTACGCGTGCACCCGGTCTTCCTCCCAACTCCGGCGTTCGCGACGCCCCCGCGACGCCCCGCGAAGTTCCACCCCGTCCTACGCCGATCCTACTACTCCGCGGCGTATCCCCCGCGTAGCGTAACACCGTGTGCACCAGAGCAATTACCCCTTCCACGATATCGTATATCTGTGCTCGACCGTCGAACGGACGCGACCGTTTATATTTCGCTTTTCCGCGCTCGAACCGCCGATCGGCCGCGCTCCGCCGATTAAACGGCATTCGTTCGCCGTCGGCCGCGACGCGTACTTTGTCCCGTTCGTAGTCTCGGCTTTCGATAAGATCGGGGCGCGTCGAAATTCGGATAACATCGACGACGATTATCGGAAACCGATGGCCGAGCCCGAAAGAACGCGGATTACGCGTGTTGCGCCGCCGATTCGGTTAAACTCTCGAGAACCTCTTCTCCTGTATGGAAAACGCGAGAAGAAAAAAGAGTCAGCGATCGCAACGCGCGCGAGAGACAGAGGGACATCGGCGCGAGTTCGTTCGACTCGCGAACGCGACCAGAGTTCAACGAACGATAACCGAGCGCGGGCGTTATCGGAAAAGAAGCTGTTCGAAGGGCCCGCGGCGATCCACGCGTCTCGACGGATACGCGACCGAACGCGCCGCAGCTTTTTCCGTAATCGTGTCTTCGGATCCGTTCTCCGAGAATATCGATGGGGCGAGACAGCGGCGAACGGACAACCGATATTCGGTCGAATACGGAGAAGCGCCGCCGAGTAATTTCTCTAATCGGAAAGAAATCGACGGCGGAACGGAGAACGGCGAAACGAGCAACGCGCGACCGGGACACGGTCGGCCGCTGCTCGCATTTGTCTCTATGTATTCGTTCGTGTACTCTCGCGGGCGGAGACCGCAGAGTATTGATTTCACCCCCTTCGCGTGCCCCTCGGTCGCTTCCGTCCCCCGAGCCAACAGCCCCTAGTCCCCGAGCCGAGATTTCAACTCGTAACAGCCACCCACCTCCTACGTTCTCTCGGCCATCGAAATTTTGTCCGGTTTCGCGAAACGACGACGAGATGCAAGGCCGAGGGGCGAGGCGAGGCAAGACAAAACACGACAAAAGTCAAGGCAAGGCAAAGCAAGGCAAGGCAAGGCAAGGCAAGGCAAGACGAGACGAGGCAAGGCCAGGTATGGCATGCAAAGCAAGGCGCGACGAGGCAAAAAACAAGGCAAGGCAAGGCAAGGCAAGGCAAGAATAGGCAAGAATAGGCAAGACGAGGCAAGGCAAAGCAAAACAAGACAAGGCAAGGCGAAGCGTGACGAGGCGAGATATGACGCTATGCGATGCGATGTGTCGCGTTGCGATGCGATGACACGAGATGCGTTGCGACGAGATGAGACGAGTCGAGATGAGACGAGATGTGTGCGATGCCGTTGCGTTGCGTTGCGTTGCGATGCGATGCGATGCGACGAGACGAGATGCGGTTGCGATGCGATGCGATGCGATGCGATGCGATGCGATCGATCCATGCATCGAATCGCCGAATTACAACACGAAATGAAGCACATAGAAAATTTGGGATTCCCGATCCCGATCGAGGGAACGCCGGGGAAAGGCGGAACGTTACCTTTGGTTCGGAAGCAGAAGTCTTGAACTTCTTAGCAGGCGGAGGACTGGACGCGGTATCCATGGCGTCGTCGGCCGTTGCGATGATGGAGGATCCGTTGCCGGGTACCGCGGCGAGTTTGGTTTGCTCCGGCTTGGCGGCCGGGCCGACGGCGGTCGCGCTCGCCGGACTCGGCGGCGGACACGGGACCGTTACGGAGCCGGAGGACGGGCCGGATCCCTGGGAGACGGAGAAGACGGCTCGCGAGCTCGGCGACGGTCCTTGGCTTTGCTGGGGGGCGGTCGCGGCGGTCGGAGGTCCCTGAGATTGCGCGGCCGCCCCGGCGGGCCCCGAGCCGGCTCCGAATCCCGAGCCCGGCCCTGGCCCGGGCCCCGGTCCGGGTCCCGGCCCCGGTCCCGACCCGCTCGAAAGTTGATTCTGCCCGATGCCGGCCACGCCGCCGACGCTGACCCCGCCGCCGCCGTTGCCGCCGCCGCCTCCAACGCCTCCTACGCCTCCGACGCTGCCGCCGCCGCCGCCGCTGACGCCGCTGGGCCGCGCGGTCCCGTTCATTTCCGGTTTGTTCTGCTGCGCCGACGCGTGATTGCTCTGCGGCTTCTCGTGCTTGTCCCGCGCTTTGTCCCGCCGGTGACCGCTCGACCCCCTTTTCGATCCTGCGGTCGAGGATGTCGCGCCTCCGGCCCCACCGGCGGCGCCGGCCGAGTGACCGAGCTTCGACTTGTTCGAGGACGAGGACGACGACGACGACGAGGACGACGAGGTCGACGAGGACGAGGACGACGTCGAGGACGAGGACGAGGAGGACTGGACGCCTACGGCGCCGCCGCCGCCGCCGCCGCCACCGCCGCTACCGCCGCCGGGCCCGCCGCCGACCGCTCCGCCGGCCGCGCCGGGACCGTTGTTCCCGCTCGAGCCGGTCCCGGCGCCGCATCCGGCCGATCCGTTGCCGCTGCCGCCGCCGACGCCGACACCGCCGGCGACGCAGCCTCCGCTTCCGACACCGCCGACGCCGACGCCGACGCCGACGCCGACACCGATGCCCACACTCATTCCGACACCGACACCAACACCGACACCTCCGCAGACACCGACACCCACGCCACCACCGACGACGACACCGGCACCGGCACCGCTGCCGCCGTGTCCCGCGGCGCACTCCGAGTTCTGAGCGTTCTGTCCGATCGTCGCGCCCGCGGACGAGCCGCCCGATCCGCTCGAGGCCGACGACGACGACGACGACGACGACGACGACGACGACGAACCGCTCGTGACCGCCGAGCCACCGACGCCGACGCCGCCGACGCCACCGATGCCACCGCCGCCGGTGCCGGTCTCCTGAGACGACATCGTTCCGTTCATTTCGTTCGATTTCACGATTTCGTGTTTCGCCTCGCTGCTCTTGGTGCCCGGTTTCGTGCGTTTGATCTTCATCTTGAGGCCTTTGTCGACGGTGGCCGAGTGTTCAACGGCCATCTTGCCGGGGTTACCTGGATTCCCGTGCGCGGCGTTCGCACCGCTCGCGACGGAATTAATTTGTTGCTGTTGCTGTTGCTGCTGCTGCTGCTTGTTACCGGTTCCCGGTACGATCGACGAGGAACCACCGTTCGCGTTCGCGTTCACGCCCGTACCGTTACTAGCGACGACGACGCCGCCGCTGCTGCTGCTCACCACCACGCTCCCGTGTCCGTGCCCGTGGCCGTGAACGTGCCCGTGCCCGTGTTGTCCGTGCCCGTGTTGTCCGCTACCGGGACTGTTCGCGCGCCCGGACGAGTTCAAGCCGCAGGAAGACGACGCGGACGAGACCGAGGTCGGCAACGAGGAAGACGAGGACGACGACGACGACGACGACGAGGAGGACGACGACGATATCGAGGAGGACGAAGCCGACGTCGACGACGAAGAGGAGGACGACGAAGAGGACGACGACGACGACGAGTTCAACGATTGTCCGCAACCGTTCGAGCCACCGGCGGACGCAACGGACGAAGACAGACCGGAGGAAGTTAAGCCGTTCGAAGAATTTTGAAGCTGATGATGATGATGATGATGGTGGTGGTGATGATTCGAGGTATTTGAAGCCGATGCTGCCGAGGCAGGCGTTGAAGCCATGCCTGTCCCTGAGCTCAATTTCTCGTCCCTCGTCTTCTCAATGTCCGCATCAAGATCGATTATCAAATCTCCTATTCCAATGTCCCATTCGTTGTCGTCGTACTCGAAATTGTTGGTCGCATTCGTCGCGGCCGGATCCAGCTCATCGGTGTTTGCAGCCACCGTGCTTGCTTTAGCGTCTCGCTGGTTATGTCCCGATGACGACGACGACGACGACGACGACGAGGACCTGTCCCGACCTTGATGATGATGGTGGTGGTGATGATGGTGATGGTGATGATGATGGTGATGGTGATGATGCCGGTGGTCGCGATCACGGTCGCGATCACGATCCCGGTGATCCCGATGATCTCGGTGATCCCGATGATCTCGATGCTCCCGATGTTCCCGATGCTCCCGATGATCTCTCCCCCTGTGCTCTCTTCCTACCGATCCCCGTCGGTGTTGCTCCTGTCTCCTCGACGTCTGACCTTCACCTCCACCCCCTCCCCCGCCTCCTCCACCGCCGTAACCGACAACGCCTTGGCCGCCGTTGTACTTGCAACTCCTTCTGCAGCGGTTCCCGGTGCAGCTACTCTTGTCGCTGCAACCGTTGGCAACGAGGTCGACGTCGTTGTCGTTGCCGTTTCCGTTTCCGTTTCCGTTGCTGCTCCCGTTCCCCTCGACGTTGCCACCTTCGATCGCGCGGGCTTCTCCGTGATACTTGGTGCTACTGCTACCGCCGTTGCTCTCGTTGTTGTTACCGCTGCTGGTGCTGCTGCTGCTGCTGTTGCCGTTACGATGGCCAACGTTGCTCTTCCCGCTGCTGCTGCCGCCGCCGCTGCTAGTATGATTGTTGTTCTTATTACTATGATTGTTGTTGTTGTTGAAGCGATGGCCGTTATTATCGCCACCACTCTCCTCGTCGTTGTTGTTGTTGTTGTTGTTTTTATTGTTGTTGCCAATACCGTTGCCGTTTCCGTAATTAGCGTCGTTACCACCACCACCACCGTCGAACGGAGATGGTCCTTTGCGGTTTACGATAGGGAGGCGACCGCCTAGTGGCGTGGTCGCCATGCCCTTTGAAACGTTTCCCCGGCGCCCGCCAGCCTGATCACCGACTGCCCGCCTGTTCTCACCGATTCCAAGCAATCGCAGCGCGCGCGACACGCGTCCGTTTTGCCCCGACCTCCGCCCGCCAGTCGCACCTCGTCCATCGAACACATCACTTTACTGTCTCGCAGCTGCCCTCCACCGATATTCCCTATATTCGGATGATCCGGCCTTTTCCCGGCACCGATTCCGGTTCCGGTCTCGAGTGTGATCGCGCCCGTTATCGCTCTCTCGCTCTCTCTCGCTCTTTCGCTCTCTCTCTCTCTCTCTCTCTCTCTCTCTCTCTCTCTCTCTCGCTCGCTCGCTCTCGCTCTCTCTCTCTCTCTATATATATATATATATTATTTATATATATATATCGCACTCGCGCGTGTTATCCGTCTCCTTGTTATGCGCCGCGCGGTCAGCCCGCACCTACCTCCGTGTTCGTCTTTCCGTTTCCTCTTGTTTAGGACTTCACGGGGGTACACGATCCTCCTCTCTTGTTCGGCACGCGTTTCTTTTTCTCTTCCTCCTCCCCCGAGCCCGGCTCCGCCGTCTCTCCGTCTTTTTCCGTCGTCCTTTCGACAACACTTTTCGCAACACCGTTTACCGCAGTTCACCGCTACCCGCGGTTCTTTCTCGTCTTTCCTCCTCTCTCTCTCTCTCTCTCTCAACGTCTTTCCCACGTCTTTTCTTCTTTCTCTCTCTATATATATATCCTCTCGATATCCTCTCGTCGTCCCTTTTCCTCCCTTGTCGTGGTCCCTTTCCGCGTCTCCTCGCGTATATATATTTCCGTCGCGAAACGCCGCTCTATCCAGTTCGATCTTAGACACGTTCCATGTATCTATCGTTCGTTCGTTTTCCAACCTCCAGCCTCGGACCGGCTCTCGCTCGCTCCGTTCGACCAAACGCTAAAACGACGCTCGTGCTGCTCCTGTCCTTCGTCGTGGCCGAGATCTGTAACGAAAACATAACCTTTAATCGGCCGCCACGGGATTACCTGAAGCCGTCGACGGCGTCTCGATCGCGCTCCGGTTCCGCGATTTCTCGCGACGCGACGCGACATAACCTCTCCCCGTGTCGACAAACGGATCAACTGCGACGGTCGCGGCCGGATCTTTATCCGCGCTCGCGACTCCCGAAACTCCATCGAACGGTCCATCGTTGTTCCTCGCCTACAAATTGCTATTCCCACTTAGAGGGGAATTCGTGTTACGGAACGATTAATTTTACCGGTGGCATTTGGCATCGGTCCAGTCGTGTCGGCGTACGCGCGTCGTCGGTGCCCTGCGCCTGTGTGCCCGTGTGCTCGTCTCTCTCTCTCTCTCTCTCTCTCTCTCTCTTTCTCTCTCTCTCTTTACGCGTCCCCGTGTGGACACGTCGATGTTAACCGTCCCAGACAGTCGGCCGCGCGAGATCAAGGAAACTATTATTCGACGCGACGCTCTCCTTTTTCCCCGTTGCCTCGGATCTCGAGGAACCTCGCGAGACAAGGCCGGCTCTCGAGCCGGATAGGAGATCGCGTACCAAAAAGTATTCGATTTTTTAATTTCGACGGAAACGATGACAGTCGACGCGAGTGGATCGCGTTTCTCGAGAGCCGCCGGTCTCGTTTCGGAAGGCGAAATATATCACGTACGCGGCAGAAATATTCGCTCGGTTACTAGGAAGTGACTAAGAAACGAATAGGAAGTGGCCGGCGCGTTGAGTATTACCGACGGATGGACAACGAAAACTACGCGTTACTCAGCGTCGCGTCGCAGTGGGCAAAACTGCCGATCTAGGTAGACGAAAACGATAGCATCGACTACCTGAAACCGTCGTTAAACGGTTACTAAGCATTTATAGGGGTACTGTACGACCGGCAAGCAATAAAATTTTACCCAAAATTTTCCCGTTAAGATAATATACCTGCCATTGAGATGCATGCGAGGTAAGTCCGAACGCTTCGTTGCTCTTACTCGGTAAACTTTCACCAACCATTGAACGGTTCTTCGTATACGAATCTTACAAATTTTACTTAATTACCATTTCTCACCTACATTTTGTCGAAATACAATAGGAGCAACGACGTCCACTTTCGTTCGATGTCCTCCAACTTTTTCTTACTTTCCCCCACCTTTACCGACTATGCGTCTTACGAGAATAGTTGGATCGTATCTATTAGCTACATGGAAATCTAATAGTCGCAACTTTCTGTAAAACTTTGTAATTTAATTTTCAGCGAGACCTGTACGCATTTGGCATTTTGTATCAACGGAGCAGCAAAGAGAATCTGCTTCGATTATATTACTCAAAATTTGAGTACTCGAAGCTTCGAATATTATTATTTACACCGAATAAAAATATAAATAAGTTAACAAATTAATAAAAAAAGAATAGAACAAAATAAATATTTGCGACGCGAGAGGGTCTCCTTGCGTATAATTATCGATTTTACGACCTTCTCGGTCGGTAAAACATTTTTGTCTACCTAAATCGGCCGTTCCGGCCTACCACGCGTCGTTGCGAACGGTCGTTGCGTCGGTGGCGACTGCCGACCGTGGTTAAATTTCGGTTCCGTCGTCAAAGCCCCCCCCCCCCTCTCTCTCGATCCGTTCTCGAACCACAAACACGCGAACCTATCCGACCGTTCGTACCGCGCGACCCGAGATAGAACGATATTTCGACGGATTCGATTCGAATTACGACAAGTTAATATTTCATTACGCCGTTCGTCGCGGCTATCGCGCGAGTGCCCGCTCTAGGCAGCCTCTCTTGAATAATTGAACGATCGAGGAAAGCGGAATGGCGAAAGCCTGTTTCCTTTCTAGTCGAGCGCGCATCGCCGCCGCAGCCGGTACCGCTTCCGAGGGAACGGTCTTCCCGGTTCGTTTCGATACATTTCTCGTCCCGTTCTCGTTCAGTCTCGTTCTCGGACTTGGTCGCGTTCGGTGTCGCGTTATCGCGTCGCGCGTAACAAGCATCGCGCAAGGTACTCGGAAACGCGTACACCCCCTGCCAAAAGTATTAGAACACCTGCAGAATATACATAATAGAACACCTTGTTATAATTTTATAAATTTATTACAAAGTTGATCGTATCGAATCGTAACGAGTACGTAAATATATTTTACGTTGCAATACGAATAACGCCAATTTAAATAAAAGAGAATTGAATTTTCATCTCGTCGATACGTCCCCACCGTCGTTTTTTGATTACTTAATAAAAACAATAAAACGACAAACGCTTGTAACTTAATACGATGCGATATCGCAGACTCGCGAGCATCGCCTAAATCGAATAGAACATTACAATTTATAGTGCAATAAACAAGCCGGTGTCCCAATACTTTCGAAAAATGCTTTCATCGCGATAGCCGCTCACATTATCGAAAAGTCGCACGGCCCACCGTTAAGCATGCGCGACCAAATCTTACGATAACGTCTCGTTGTTTGTCGATAGCAACGATAATATTTACCATCGGGTATGCTATTTGTTGATACCGTTTCCGTCGACGGTCCCAACAACGCGGTCGGTCGGTCGGTCGAGCGCTTAAACGAACGTTCCGCCACCAACTTGTCGCGAGCACGGCCCTCGAAACGCAACGGGGGCTTCGTTTACCGATATTCCAACATTTTTACAAATATCGGCGCACTCCGAACAACACGCGTTTTCACCGTATCTCTTGAACATCCTACACTCGAATATGGATCTGTCGCGTACGCGGACCCAGTATTACCAAGCATCGAGGCTGTCGCGTTCGCCGTGCGTTTCCGAGACTCGCTAATGCACTTACGCTCCCCTCCAAAAGTATATATATATTAGGACATTTTCTTATTTAATATAAACTGTAGCTTTTAATATATATTAAATTAATTAATATATATTGTTTATTATTATAACCTTGACACTTTATTATTTAATATAAATCGTAGCTTTTCGTTCGGTTCAACTAATGTCTGCGAGTTTTATTATGGCATATTATTATGTACATGTGTATCAAGTTGGAAGCGTTTGTCGCAAATACGATCGGTTTTACCATTTATTGCATTCTGATGTCTTTTTTTTTCTAAAATTGCTGGATCGTTAGGACGCCGAAGGAAGGCGGGATCGATTGGACGAGAGCGAAAGAATGCGATACAAAAGGAACGAGGAGAAGGAAAACCGGCAAGATCGCGGCACGTCCGCGTTAAATTCGTCGAACTCTGTTTACAACGGGCGAATGCGCGATAAAATCGTTGAAACGATATGGTTTTGTACTTTACCGAGATAGAAAAAAAAACAGCCTCGCATGGAAGATCGGTTCGATAAAGTTCGGTCGACTCGCAGGTTGCTAAACGATTGAACTCTGAGGCTGCTGTTCAGCCGTTAGACAAGCCGAAGGTCGGTTCGGTCGGTGCGAGAAGGGGGGAAATATTCGAAAAGCGAGACCCGTTGTCGGTGTTCCCGAGCAGAACCGACAAAAGCGGACGCCGAAATTGGTCCGAGAAATAATCGAAAACGCGGCGGACGTATCGTCGAAAAGAAACTTTGATTTTTGTTTCGTGAAGTTGACGTTATTTTTATTGTAACGTTAAATGTAATATAAATACAATTTCGTAAAATAAAGTTTGAAATAAATCGAAGACGTTGTAAGAATTTCCCATCGGTTTCTTAAATTTATTCAATTTTCTGCGAGTGTCCTGATACTTTTGCGGCGGGGGGGGGGGGGGTTGTAC